TGATAATACTCTATATTAAATATGTATTTCAGAAAATGCAGCCTATTTGAAATAAGTATATTATTTTTTCACCTGGGTAAACAATCTTATCAGATTAAGCTCCTGTRAAAGTCGTATCAGCAACAAGGAGAGAAAAAAAATTAAACCTGAAAGCTTTACTGTTTTCCAAGCAACACGACTGTGTGTGTTTGTGTGTGTATYTGTGTAGATTTGTGTGGGACAGACCACAGTTYGCGCTCAGCTGGCTTTGACGTGTCCAGACAAACGTTCAGCTGTTCCTTGATGCTCTCATTGCCTTTATGTCAAAACACCTGAAACAACAAATGACGCCACCAGCAGCTGCCCTGTGTTGAACCCACTCTGCTATTTGTGCACACGACCCAACACAATCCCATTGTGTGTCAGTCTTATAAAAGRGGCTCTGTACCTCATAAATCCATGTTAAAGATGAGAAACTGTGAGGTTGTAAAACTGTGTGAATGCTGATCCACAATTCACAAACAAGGTAAAAACTGCAGAAGGGTTACGATTTGAGTGGATTCTGTTGAACCAACAGCTGAATTTGTGTTGCATTCCTTTGGTTTAGAAAAAGGTAACGTGACGCTGGGTTCTGTCTTGATGCACTGAGTGAGTGGATTAAAGCAGATTAGCTGGACGGTGGTCATCATTTTGTACGTGTGCAGTTTGGGGGGGTGTCCTGGTTACAGTGGCCCTGGCTGACTGCACGACACACACCGTTACCTGATCTCCCTCTGCCTGTCTATATATAGACCTGCCCCATCAGCTTGTTAAGCAGGTTAAAAATAGATCTGTTCCATGTTGTCACATCAAGGAGCGCCCCCCACCACCACCACCACCACCAACAGACAAAAACACTTTTTGTGAATTTAGTCCAGTCCCTTTTACACTTAAACTCCTTTGTTAGTTAGAGGCACTGGACTTTGACAATTCATGTGAAAACCTTTTCTCTAAATGTTCCAGCAACAGCGTCACTGAGTCGTAACCTGACACCTGGTCCATTAGCATGATGAGGTTTCAAAGGAACACATGAGGTTTGCTTTCATTCCTGTATTTGTCCTGCTTTCCTTTAAACCCCACTTWTTCTTTCATTTATATTTGCCCGCACGTTTGTCCGTTAGCAAAATATGAAACATGAATCACTGTCCAACATGTCCAACACCTCTATCAAGACTTGTCCAACACATTCAGTGTGTCCAACAAAACATGTCCAATATGTGAAACACGTTCATTGGAAGCCAACATGTCAAACATGTACAACTTATTTAACATGCCCAACACATCCAACATGTCAAACATGTACAACTTATTTAACATGCCCGACACATCCAACATGTCAAACATGTCCAACATATGAAACATGTCCAACATATGAAACATGTCCAACATATGAAACATGTCCAACATATGAAACATGTCCAACATATGAAACATGTCCAACACATCCAATATATCCAACATGTGAAATGTGTCCAACACAGCCAACATGCCAAGTATGTCCACTACATCCAAAATGTCACATGTCCAACACATGAAACATGTCCAACTCATCTAACATGTCCAACATATCCAGCATGTGAAATATGTCCAACCCATCCAACATGTCCAACATGTCAAACATGTCCAACATATGAAATTTGTAAAACACATCCAACGTATCCAACATGTGAAACATGTTCAGTGGAATGCAACATTTCTAACATATAAAATGTTTCCAAAACCTTCAATATGTCCAACACATCCAACATATGAAACATGTCCAACACATCCCATATGTCCAACACATCCAACATATGAAATATGTCCAAAAACATCCAACATGTCCAACATATGAAACGTGTTCAACACATCCAACATGTTCAACATATGAAACGTGTCCATCACATCCATCATGTCCAACATATGAAATGTGTTCAACACATCCAACATGTTCAACATATGAAATGTGTCCAACTCATCTAACATGTCCAACATATCCAGCATGTGAAATTTGTCCAACCCATCCAACATGTCCAACATGTCAAACATGTCCAACACATCGCATATGTCCAACACATCCAACATATGAAATGTGTCCAAAAACATCCAATATGTCAAACACATGCAACATATGAAACATGTCTAACACATCCCATATGTCCAACACATCCAATATGTGAAACGTGTCCAACATATGAAATGGGTAAAACACATCCAACATATCCAACATGTAAAACACGACCAAAATCGTCCAATATGTCAAACACATCCAACATGTGAAACGTGCCCAACGTGTCCAACACATCCAACATGCCAAACATGTCCAACATATGAAACATGTCCAACACATCCAACATGTCCAACATATGAAACGTATCCAACACATCCAACATGTCCAACATATGAAACGTGTTCAACACATCCAACATGTCCAACATATGAAACGTGTTCAACACATCCAACATGTCCAACATATGAAACGTGTTCAACACATCCAACATGTCCAACATATGAAACGTGTTCAAC